TGTACACATTGTAGTATAATTTGTATGCAACTTGTGTGCAATGCCCCCTCAAGTCTAGTAGCACGTTATTTGGGATATCATCTATTATGAACTGTGTGTCGCTGTCGCAGCTCGTCGCAGGTGTTGTAAAGTTGCATGTCGCGTCGCAAGAATTTGTATTGTGAATCGGCCTTTACAGTCCCTAACACTTGACATTTTTGATAATCCAAAATGATGGTCCAAGAAACCTTATCATGCAGCAAAAAATTATAGGAACTGATGCGTGAGAGCAGGGATTTTTTCAGTATTTACCCTCATAGGATCTGCCAATGAGCTAAAGCATAGTGCATTTGACAGTTGCCGTTAAAATACAGCAGGGTGCCAATTGTCCGCCACCCTTCGGGGCACTGGCCATTTCCACGGTGATCAGAGGAGAAGAATGGTCGGTTATGGGACCACTCATACATCTATCACATGCATATTCCAGCAAATTTTGACCATTTTTAATTCTCTTCGGTAGTACAACAGGACCTAGGTGCACTCCAGCCTTTCTCATCGTTGTACATTTTGACTGAACAACCTGCTGTAAAACATCTTGGGCATCGCTTGAGTGGTGCTCCGAGTGGCAAAAATCAGCAAAACTTCAAAAAAAAACTGCCAATTTTGTATGTTGTCCAGCCCGACCAGGAGATCCGGATAACCGATTGTCCGGATAGTTAACGTCCGCACAATCGGTGTTTGACTGTAAAATAATATCCCATCATACCCCTCATGCGAACACCAAGATATGGCCTGCGCTCCCAAGGTTGCGAACAATCGCCACGCTACACTGCATAGACTTTCTTCCAACAAATAAAGTTGCTTGCGCCAAACAAGCAAGTCGCAATTAAAACTTTGAAATTACGGGAAAAAACACAACCTGATCCTCAGTTCAGGAAGGGCTCTCTATATTGGGATCTATTGTGCGTGCAAGGCATGCTTGGATACGACATGTTTGCACGTTGCAAGGTCACATCGTACATAGTGGCACATTATTAGCACAAGCCCTGTTCACACAGTTAACGGTGGCACAGGACACATGTTACACAAATGCACAAATGCACAACAGTATACTCATCGTGCTGAGGGCACACACAAGGGCAGAGCACTACTTGCGCATGGTAAGAGCACTACTTGCGCATGGTCAGCCTTTTAAGTTAAGGAGCCTTGTCTCACTTACTGACACAGAGAATCTGGGCTTGAGTTTTGCTTGTGGCGTTCTGAAACGTCTGCTTTTGCGCGCTAAACATTATGGTTCTGTAAAGGGAACGGCCATTGACTCGGATTGACGCGACGTGGTAAGGTGCTTGCTGGTGCTTATGCAATAAGGCCAACTTCTCTAGCCAGCGCTCTGTTAACACATGGCCATGTTCTTCTAGCCACTCCTTGGTAATGAGATGATATCCGTACTCCTGACATGCGTCCTCTGCGAACTGCTCAGTCACGCTGGGTCTGTGTGCTGGAGTTGCTGCGGCGTGTACAGAATCGTTGGCCTGGAGCCATTTGGCTGCAAAGCAAGGGAAAATACAGTTGCGGGTAGAAACACATCATGAAACAAATCAAATGCCCCACTCCATGACACCTGATCTCATGGATACGGAAGTGCCCAGAGCTAGTGAGTAGTTCAATGTTCACAGGCCTGGGGCTCGCCAGACTTCATAGAGCAGCACCGTGTCACATTTGCAAATCATTCAGCGGTTCTGCCAAAGGAGTAGTATAACACCGGGTTATGGCACAAGCATACACATGAAATGTTTCTTCGCAGATGAAACTAATTGGTTACTCATGTGTGGATATGACCCTGGCTAGAGCGGTAGGTTTCTCATTGAAGAGGGAAACCTCGGTAGCATTCACTACTCTCGCCGTCTCTGTTTCATTCCGCCTGTCCCACTACTATCACTGGACACACCCTTTAACCCACTCACCGCTATATATATATACATCATTGAAAGTGATGCCCAGGCGCTGAGGACGTATATATATGAGTGGTTGCTCCCAAGGTTCCTAACTATATTATAGAGAATTAGAAAAGTTGCCTGATGATTGAAAAAAACTCAAGAAACTCGGAGTACCAGATATGGATTGATCGAAGAAGGATAGATTGACCATCACTGTGGATAAGAAGCATATTGTAGCTCAGTTGGTTAGAGCATTGCTCGCGAATAGCAAGGTCCCTGGTTCGAGTCTCGGTGGCGTGACTGATGATTTTGTTCTTTCTTTCATATCTGGCTTGCAAGTGTTGAGTTTTTCGGAGAGAAAAGAGCAGTACGTGGCATGTGGCCTCTGGTTTCCCAATGCGCTTATAATGTGAACACTATTGGTGAAACACACGGGAGCTGAATATACTGCTAAGCATTGTGATAACACCGTTGTTTAGAACACAGACAAACCTTTATTGCACATATAAGCGTATGGGCTTCTACCCGGACATGTTCACACAGCAAAAACTCTTTTTTTGCAGCAAATTTTCACATATATCATGCCCATGGGCGTATATGTGGGGAAGTATGGTATATACCGGTATAGATTATACATCTTTTTCATTGCCAAATAAAAAGTGCAGAGCCTGGGTGCCATGGTCTATAGCCTTAAAGGGGTTAAAACGCAACAGCCTACCTTCACAGATGACATCATGATTGCCTCTTCCATCCCTGTCAAATAGTGCCTCGCTCGAGTTGTCCTTGCCTTGCTTGTAAATAACATGCTGACCAAAGTATATGTACGATGTCCATATCTTGAGAGGGGTGCTGTAGCTGCTGTTACTTCTAGTCATCATCTCGCTCAGCAATGATTTTATGCAGTCGCTAACACCCAGCTTCAAGCCAAGTACAGTGAAGGAATTATAGTCTACGAAGTTGTATCCTCTTCTCACGCACATCTCGCGGGCGTGCACGAAGTTCGTTTTCTTCTGGCAGCTGCCATAGTCGAGATGTGGATAACACGGCAAGCTGGCAAGAGCCATCCAGGTGTATATTGCATTATTTGTGCCCAGGCACTTTGTCTTGAAAGCTGAACATAACACAGTACACATGCAAGACACAGTCAGGCGAAGTAGAACACAACTGCAGCACACTCTAACACGACGTACACCGACTTTCTCAGATGGATACCGGAATCCAGTTCAAATAATAGAGAGGTTAAGATGCATGTTATTTCCGATAAAATATTGGTTGGGGATTGTCTGAAGCATATTCAAGCGAGGTACAGTCGGGCTTGATGACTGATCAAAGCCCTCGGGCTGGTCCCTTGGGCTTCGATCAGCCATCAAGCCCTCCGTATCTCGCTTGCCGATTATCTACTTTAGTAACGTTACTCTGATTAGGCGTATATGCAAGCAGGCTATTGAATAATTTCGCCCTGACCGTCTTTGCACCGGGCTTGGAGAGCTGAGCCATGGTTAATTCATAGATAGTGAGGGAAGGAGGTGCGGGGGGGGGGGGGGATACCAATAATTAAACTTCCGAGGCACTTCTTTTGGCACTTGAGACAATTTCTGTAACAATCAAGTGCTTTCGAGGTGATTTACACGACGGCAGGACTCATCCCATGCCTGATGCTACCATGGAGATCTAGTCACATGTGCTCATATTTCGGCGCGAACGTATCCCGGTACGGTCCCGGTGCCATGAGGGGGCTGGGGGAGGGAGAGAGGGGGGGGGGGCGGTGGTTAGAAATGCATATCGTGACATTCCGTGGTCTGTTTTGCAAGCTCTCGGGATCACGTGCTTCTCTTCCCAGCGGGAGGCACTGCCGTCACGTAAATCGCCTCTTAGGAAGTCAGAGAGATCTCGAGCTGGTCTCCAGAAAAGCATGCTGTCTTCAAGTACTAGCTTCCTGTGTCCGAAAGAAGGGGGGGGGGGGCGTGGTAAAACACAGGTATGAATCGGTTCGGAACCCAAATTTGGTTCCGAACCGATTCATAACTTAAGAATAATTGTTGATGTATGCATGTACATGTATGGTCACAATTCCCAGGAACATGTGAATCAAAGAAACACGAGTATTCACTTCATTTAGCAGTTACTTACCATGTTGACACTGGTCTCCATGGAAACCTTTCCGGCAGTTGCAGGTGCCGTCTTCAGTACACTGACCATCATTCAAGCAATTGCACACTGCAGTAGAGATTGGGTGCATTCACGTATTTCCCAAAACACACAAATAGGGATAGAACTTGAATAACCTATTGGATTCTCTAGTCGTTGTCGCATGAATCTTGTCCATCATGACATTGTATAGACCTCAACATCGCCACAAACACTAACACTAGCAATAACACCCATTCACCAATCCCAGGTATATCCAACTTATAATCATGCCTTGCACTTGAATAGAACACACGTTCAGCTAATAAGCTGGAGAACCTGGCATAAACGCTGGGAAGTACTTTTTCTTGTCTTCAAATACAACAGTCCAGCACGCGGGTATGCATGGGTCATATATTCTTTGACACGCGGGCTAAAATGGCAGCAGCCTTCTTTAGCCCTTACCTTCTGTGCAGATAGGTCCGTCTGGTCTCGGTTTACATTCACATGCTTTGTTCTTTTTCACCCAGGGATTTGTGCACACAACTGCATTACATATCACACACAGAGAAGACAAAATGAGAGAGCGGATCAGCCATACACAAAATGGACAGACAAAACGAGAGTGTTGTGGAATTATCCACCACCAGACCAGCGCAAGGATATAAGTTGGACTATAATTATTAATTTCAATTCCAAAATGCACAAGAAGTGTACAGAAGAAAAAAAGCACAAACTCGACCAGGCCAGAAGCAAGAAGAACTGAACACAAGATATTGAAAACCCTTCTCCTCAACAAGCTGCATCACGTACAACGCAAAACAACTGGCTGCACCAGTGTGTGCATCAGCGCGTGCACCAGCGTGTGCACCAGCGCTGCACCAACGTGTGCACCAGCGAAATCAATATCGAAAGTACGTATCAATCATTACATTACATACAACATGCACAAGAGGGTTACTCTACTTCACGACGTAGAAGAACGGCATCACCAACGGCGAACAGACAGTTATCAGCTTCAGACTCAACAAAGTCCTTGGAGGACAGCTCAGCTTCCACAAAATCACGGATCCGAGCAGCCTGGCGTTCAAGATCAGATGGAGTCCGGCCCAGCCCAGGAGTAGCCGACAAGAGCACACCGGAGGGCTCCCAGCCAAGCATCGCACGCATAGGAGAAATCTTGAGGACAGAGTGCGGATGAATACGGTCGAAATACAGTAACACGTCCAGCTCAGATCGCCAATCATCAGCCTCATCCAACACCTTCCGAATTAAGGTAAGGAGAGTGCGGTTAAATCGCTCAACCGATCCCTGTAATAGGGGATGACGCACGGCACCGTTGAGCACTGTCACACCAAACGTGTCAAACAGCGATGACATCACGGCGTTGATGAATTCCGTGCCATTATCACAGCGGACCACTCGGGGCGGGCCCCACCGCGTACACAGGCCGACAAATGCCTCGGCCACTGATGCCGCGTCATGTTGACAGAGCAGAACCACTTCCACCCACTTGGTGAAAGTGTCCATGCAGACGAGAACACAATGGTACTCTCCACTCTGATCGACGCCCAGTTCCAGAGTATCTATTACTACAACACTCCATTGGGCCATCAGCCACCACAGGGCGACTGGCATCCGCCGAAACGCAGCAGCACACGGCAAACAGTGGCGCACAAAAAAACTGCTGACATTGGCAGCCATGTTCGGGAAATAGCACTTCGAGCGAAGAAAGCGCCATGTACCCTCCCAAGACGCATGACCACAGTTCACATGAGCAGCACGAACGACATCGGGCTCGAGTGAACTAGGAATAACAGGAATGACGACTGCATCATTGGGCGGCAACTTCACACTTCGACACAGCATACCATCATGGACTACGAGCTGTGACTTGACCTTGACCAACGCAGGATCAGTAACTGGGTCACCATCGATGACTTGCTGGCGAGTCGCAACAATCTTAGGATCTGCATTCTGAGCAGCACATACTCTGTCCAATGAGAATGGACTAACGGTCACCACCGCAGCGGTGACGGACGGTGCAATCCGAGAAAGGAGCGTCTTGCCACATCGGATCCAGCTGCTGGGAACACGGGTCAATTGATCCGCCTTGTTCTGCTGACTGCTGATCCACTGGACCTTGACTGTCAAGCCCGTGACAGCGACGAGATCAGTGATAATCTGGAGACGGCGCTGTACAAGTACCTGCTGCAGGCCGCTGACGCGAACACAAGACACCTTGCCAAGCACCGATTGCAACCAAGCAGCCACAGTCTTGGAATCGGTGAATAGTGTGAGCTCCTTCACTTGCCACTGCATGGCAAGGTGCAACCCCTTGATCACGGCGTCACGCTCAGCGATGTTAATGTGTCGCCGGTCGTCCTTCTGCCGCAGCCAGCAGCCATCCTCGACAATCATACTATCGGCCTGAATGACAGCACCATGTGCGATGTCCGAAGCATCACACCACAACGACCACTGTGCGTCTTCAGGAACTGACCACACACCTTGCGCAGGGTCATCGGTCTGCAGACGGTGAATGACTTCCGCACAACAAGCGACGACTTCATGAGACACTGGATCGTCCCATCCAGGCTGAAGGCTAGACAGACGCTTCAGATAACTGCACGCCAGGCGCAGCCAGGAGCCGACAGGATAGTGGCTGGTCAGCTTGCCACACCACTTGAAAATCTCGCGTCTTGTGACGGCATCGGGCTGACAGGTCGGCATGACGTCACCACGACGCTTCCACCTCACTTGGCCATCTGCAGACTCTGACAGCAGCAGGCCGAGTACCCTAGCAGAGACGACTGGCTCCGCTGGCTTGGTGGGCAACCTGTACTGCGACAACTGATCGGTGCACGCAGACGAGGCTTCAGAGCATACAAATCGTCGACATAGTTATCCACATCAGCATACGCACGGAGGACCCACTTGACGATTATGTCCATGAATTTGGGCGCAATCGATAGACCGAAGCCCATCCTCTCCATTGCGAACAGCTGGCCCTTCCAGACGATCGTTTGGAACTTGGCGAGAGCTGGCGCGATGCGGATGTTGAGGTAAGCCTTGCTGATGTCCAGCAACACGTGGCTGTCGGCGTTGCCAATAAACCTCCACTGACGCAATTTCTCTTGGCAAACAGGCACGTCCAAACCTGGATGCGACACAATCAACTTGTTGAGTTGCCGGTAGTCCAAACGCGGGCGGACAGGGGTGGACTGCTTGTGTGTCTGGAACACCGCCAACAAGGGAAACACAGCACCAGGCTCACCATGGACTGCTTGGTCATGGGGTGCCAACCATCCATTGCGGATCAACATGTCCACTTCCTCGCAGAACTGTGACTCCTACCCTCTGTCCCCCTCTAAGTCTAACACATGAGGACTGAGACCTGTACAACAGGGTTTTTACGCCTGAAAGCAGGTGCATGATTTAACAAGCAGGTTGTCAGTCTAGATTTTATGCGCAGATGAAGAAAAAATGCGCAATTTTTTTGTAATGTGATGAAAAGCAGAAATAATAAGAAAAGATGAAATGAAAGCCTGCTCCGCACAACCCGGTCCAGCCTTGCGAACTGGGTATGGTGGATTAAGAACCCGGGTCAACGCTCGAGCAAGCGCTCTCCACTCCAGGTGTTCACTGCAACTGGTAGGGAAATTGTAGAAACGAAATAATAAGATGAAGTCAAGCTCATTTGAATTTTCGGTTTGTACGGTGTTTGCAGCAGCGCGGATTCGAATCTCCTCACGCATGTTCCTGTCGATGACCCCGAGTACGTTGTCGTGCCTCCAGGTGTATACGTGTAACGTCCTAGTCCAGCGCGACGCGACAAGCGCCAAGCACGTGGCGCGTAGTACAGGCCCAGGAGAAAGAGAGAGAGAGAGAAAGAGAGAGGGAGAGAGAGAGAGAGGAGAGAGAGCGAGATGGAGGGAGCACGAACGCACGTACCGGAATGCTAGCATAGCGCAGCTACCTTGGATCCTGATGGCGTACTTATCAATGCGCTGTTGGGTTTGTTCCTCGCCGAACTGCTTCACCTGTACATTTACAACACCAACGTGTGTTGTTGACACCAACGCTGCAGTCACAAATGACGCCTCAGCACCGGAGTCCAGGAACACGCGAACCTTCGCCTTTCGAGTTCTTCCCTCAACTCGTGCAACTCCGCTCATCAGCCGCACACTTGCTGATTGTAGGCAGCACGATCCAACCTTCTTCTCTGTTACTATCTAAGTCGGTTTCTCCCGGCTGTAACCTGCTCCATTCAACACATCATGTATTAGCAGATGGTGCTTCCCCTGGCATTTTGTGCACCTCAAGCCTGACCGATAGTCCCTTGCCACATGGCCATACTTGAGGCAGTTCCAGCAGAGTCTCTCTCACTGCAGAAAAACCTTTCTCCCTTCCTGTGGCAGCGACTTTAGCTGCTTCTCTGCATCTGCGACTAGTTGAGAAAGTACTCATTATGTACAGTAACATTGAGTGCCGAAGAACAACTCTCCTTTGCCTAGCTTGAACTTTCACCTGACGACGGACAAAAGCAAAAAATAGCCATCAATGTTTTGCCGAGAGTAGGTAACAAGCTCATCAGCTCAAACGCCTTACTCTTGAAGAACAAAAAGATTACAATTTTTGTAATGAAACAGGCTGAACACTAAACTCAGGAATAACGGGGTTTCATGTAAAGTTACTTTGTACAGTTCACATCTACTCTCGGACACTAGCGAAATACAATAAGAACAAGAAGCTGAAATCTGGAAAACAAGAACATTGCTGGTCTGAAGCCGGGACCCCATCCTAGGTACCTGAATGCTATTGCATGGTTTTAATTGGCATGAGTAGACTGTAAACATACTCTAAACACACCCTGATAGATGCAGGACTAGATGAAAAAACACAGGCTAACAGCTGGATCTTGAGAACCTAACCGGAAAATATAAAGACGCTCCGTAACGCATGACAATGGCAGGCCTCTATCAGCCACATGTAAAGTGCTGCCAACTAAAGTGGTCTCTGGAAATTGGCGCAATGAGCATAACTTTGGAGTTTCCACATCCCGAACAATTTGACTGTGCCGACACCTCTGTACTCATTACAAATTGCTGACTGACCTTGACATTGAGTTCCATTTCCGTGGTAACCGGACTTGCACAGACACATGTATCCGCCATCATTATCAATGCAGATAGCATCCACATGGCATGGGCTAGCCGGCAAACATTCATCAATGTCTGAACAACAGTAGGTGAGCAGAATGCAAGGGGTTAGTAACTGATTACATACTGCATTGTAACCATGGCCAGCGTCACATAGGCACAACAAAAACAATTCAAATTCATCAGACAGCTCTAATAGTCTCAATCTCAATTGCTGTGAAAACAATTTGATCTTTTCTCGAGATTATAAACACTTGTGTCGCTGTCGATTGATTCTACAAACTCTGCTATAATCTATACTTGTCCAAATTCTGAAACCAGCAGAACATGTGCACAGATTAATCATGCAAACTGCTGCTGCACAGATCATTTCAGCGGACAGTGGGGTGTTATGGCAGAAGCAGCAGAGAATGCGGCAAAGAACGAACAAACACAAAAAGGAACTCTGACCAGCTTTCAATACCACACAAGAAAACAGGAAATGGTTTGGTTTGCAAACACTGCACACCATCATCAAGTAGAGCATGAGACTCTTAATCTCAGGGTCGTGGGTTCGAGCCCCACGTTGGGCGCCAATGCTGTGGAATTCCCTCCCCCCCCCCCCCCCCCCGCTTCCCGCCACACAACCACTCTCTGACTCATTCAGGCAGGCAAGAGGACGACACAGTTACTTGAACAATATCTCTTGGAATAAATAACTAACTGGTGGGCGGGAGAACGGGGGAGAAAAGACAAAGGAATAATAAACAAAACAAAAAACGAAGTCTGAAGAAAATGTTGAACGGCCTCTGCTGGGATGACGACTACACCATAGCTCAGTGATAAGAGCATCGCTGGCTACAAGCGAAGGTCCCTGGTTCGAGTCCTGGTGGTGACAGTCAATTTTTTTTCCAGACTTTTCCCGTTTGTCTCTTTCCCTCAAACCAGTTAAAATAATAAACAACCAACAGTTACAAACAGAGAAAAGGCGAACACATCGAAACGACCAATCAGGGACTAATACGTACAGAACACATGACCAGGCCAAGACAACCAGACCACGGACGAATCACACATGGCTCTCATTCCCAGACCAAACTAGCACTGTGCATGTACAGCATTCACTTGACAGTCACTCTCACACAGACGGAAGTACATCCTCACACTCTGACAACGCGTACTCTTGCATGCACCACATACCATAAACGTCACACATCACACCATACTCGCGCGTACACCTACACCATATATGACATCAGACACTGGACTCCACCAGACAAGAGCCAAATACAACAACATGCGTAAATCATAGTCGAACAGAAATCCGCAACAGTATGGTTGAACTGTGTGCCATAATCATCGACTCGAGTACTATTTGAGAAAACTAGCGAGCATTCGACTGAATACGAGTATTCTATTGACCAGACATAAAACAATGGACGCCTACACTCTTGCAAAACCAAACGTAGTACACCTGGTACGCATGATTGTAGTCTTGCTTGCAGCCTAGTTCGGGAAATACTCGCAACTATTGTGTTATTCTGCTAAGTAGGGACAAGTAATATTACATGTTGGGGGTCATACTACTGACAGTAGTTTTTGCGAAACAACGACTCGCTCATTTCAAATTTTCAAGAGAGGGATTGAGTATTGGACATACTCATGTTACCCTAACAGTAAAGGGTGTGTTTGGTTGGCACAAACTAGAACAGGATCCAACAGCTGGTGCACATGGAGCAGCCTCATGCCAACCAAACGGTACTCCAGAAACAGAGCACATTTTTTTGTGAAAAATGTGCCAAACTTTGTTCATTCTTCAAAATGTTTATGAGTCACCATGGTCACTTTGTACGGTACAACGAGTTCAACCCAAAAAAAACGTATGCACGTGATCATTTGGGACCAAAATCGATGTTCCTGCCAGGTTTTACTGTGAACAAGTTTAACGGCTCGGTCTGCTCCGGCCTCGAGGCCAGAGCAAGCAGAACATGTTCTGGTCGACCCAGAACAGGTGCAGTCCCAACCAAACACGCTGTTCTTGTGAATCCTGTTCTAGGTCATACCAACCAAACGCACCCTAAGAAGCATGCGTATTCACTTCACTTACTATGCTGACACTTGTCTCCGTGGAATCCTTTCCGGCAGTTGCAGGTGCCATCTTCAGTACACTGACCGTTATTCAAGCAATTGCATACTGCAGCATTGACTGGGTGTATACACGTATTATCCAAAGCACACAAATGGAAATAGAACATAGTATATTGGATTCTCAAGAAGTTGCTGTATATATTTTGATCATCAGGAGAATGTCTAGACCTCAAAATACCTATTTAAAACACTCATTCACCAATCCCAGGTATATCCGAAACATACTCATTCGAATCTTTTCTTGTACATAAATGGAACAAATTTTCACCCACTTGAAGTCGGATTATGCTGGAAAACCTGGCATGGAAACGGGAAGTACTTTTCTTGTCTGGAATTATAACTTTCCATTGTCCATGTACCCATGAGGCTTAGTGTGTTGAACTGCTCTGGTGGTGGCACACACAAACAATGCTATCAATACCTTCGGAGATGACTCACCACGTC